CAATGAGTAAGCCTAGATCTGTCTTCTTACCAGGATTTACCTAGAAAATCAAGAAATTGACGTTGATTAGTCTTTGTCCTGTCATGAACCATCATATCTCTCCCCTTTTGGCCGAAACAAAAAATGTTTTTATCTCTTTTAAGTATTCACCGACTGCTCAAGAGGTGGTTGTATCAACATCTCCATTCTTTAAAAGGGAAGGGATTGATAGCTTGAATATTAGAACAACTTATACCTGGAAGGATTCAATGGTTGAAACTGTTTATACTTATTTGCGTTTTCTTTCGAGGTGATATGCCATGTATTCGACGGGTGAGTAGCATATGAACCCCCTCTTAGTTGAGTACATCGATGTCATCCTAGTTTCATATAGTCAAGCGAACTACGTGACGGCGATTTCATTACATCGCTTCAAGGTGATCAATGGTTAAGCCTGGATCTGTCTTCTTACTAGGATTTACCTAGGAAATCAAGAAGTTGACGTTTATTAGTCTTTGTCCTGTCATGAACCATCATATCTCTCCCCTTTTGGCCGAAACAAAAAACATTTTTTTTTTATCTCTTTCCGGTATTCACCGACCGTTCAAGCGGTGGTTGTATCGACATCTCCATTCTTTGAAAGGAAAGGGATCGAGAGCTTGAAAATTAGGAAAACTTACAATTGGAAGGAGTCGATGGTTGAAATTGTTTATACCGATTTGCGTTTTTCTTTCGAGGTGATACGTCATGTATTTGACTGGTGAATAGCACATGAACCCCCTCTTAGTCGAATGCATCAATATCATCCTAGTTTCATATAGTCAAGCGAACTATTCGATGGCGATTTCATTATATCGCTTCGAGGCCATCAACGAGCAAGCCAATGGTCGAGAATGTACATCTCGAGAAGTCCGAATTCTCAAGTTCGATATTTCGGCCTCTTGTAGTCTACTTCAGGCGAGGGCACCAACGAAAATGTTCCCGGAAAAGTCTCTTAGCCCCTTTAGATGTTATGCTTTTAGTTAGAACAAAAAAGTTGATTTTAGTCTGGCGTTTGACATAGGGAGGATGATGCCTAAAATGTTTCACCGTCATGTAAGCGGTAGTGGGGCAGATAGGCCCAACCATTTAACGAAGGATAATCACAAAGACTACGGGCCAATGTATGCTGAAGGCCCGGCCCGGCAACTTCGAAGGGGGGAGAAATCGGGTACGACGGGTACATGTGCATCCGGTGCACCCGAACCTCATGCTTTATGCGGATCTCACGTGGGAGTCTCATAATTTATCTTCACGAAAATCTGAGGTCAAAAGGGAAACCGTCTCTCGTTCGCCTTCGCGCATCTACTCAAGTCAAAGTTTAGAAAATCAGACAATCTCAAATATAAAGAGTTCATCATGTCAACCCCAAAATACCATAGCAATTGTTAGTACCGATATGGGCTTTCTTTAAGCCCACAGAGAGAGCAGTGGCACAGGGACTGATGAGAAGAGATCATTCTGTCCTGCTGGAAATTTGACAGGACACCGATTGATTCCTTGAACGGTGGACAAAGCAGCCTTTTTGCACTGCACACAATCGTTTCGATTAGATAGAATAGAACCTGGAAATTTTTCCGGTGTCGGGACAGAAAGTGGACTCAGGACAGTTCAAATCCTAACAAGGCTAAAAACAGCTTAACAAATTGCAAGGTAGGAAAATGTTGTCAGTTTGCTCTGTTTAATGCAAGCCCTGTGGATTCTCCGACTCACTGAGTCACAAAAGAAAGTTTTACATACTCACCGGTAGGTAGCTGAGATGATTTGCGCTCTACTACCCCATCGCCAAGGAAACGAGTTCAAATCTTCCAGTTGCTAGCGTCTTAAGTGGGGAGCCCTGGTGGTGGGTTCCTGGGCTAGCTCCCCTCCAGGTATAGTCGGTGGTCGTCGTTGGGCCTGTCGGGCCCGCGGTGGCCGTGAGCACCCGAAGGGTGCCAGGCCAGATCCTGGGTATCAAAAAAAAAAAGTTTTACAAAATCAAACAAATTACCCTGGTGTTTTTAGTGTCTCGAATCTGCGACATAATCACAAAAGATTAGATCTGGGTTGTTCATTAAGATTCTTTTAAGAATCTATGAGCAACAACATTTTTACATTGGAACTATGATTGAACATCTACCTTTAATGCTGCATTCCTCAAGGGACCAGCCTGAAAAAAAACAGGTGTCATTTCGTGAAAGTTAATACCACGAAAAACTCCAAATTGGTATACCTATAACAAATTTACCCAAAACTATTTTTTTGACCACAAAAAACCTCAAACTGGCATATTTGTGACAATTTTATCCCGAACTATTTTTTGATCACCAAAAACCCCACACTAGTATACCTGTGATAATTTTACCCCCGAACTAATTTTTTGACCGCAGATAACTCCAAACTGGTACACCTGTGATAAATTTACCTTCAGTTAGTTTCCGTTAAATTTTACTGTCAAATTACTAAGTTTAATGACACATGGTAATTGACAGGTGTGCCGGTTTTGGGTTTTACCCCTCTGTTTGTCACAAGTTTACCAATTTGTGATTTTTTGTGATATTAATCCAATTTAACGGACACTAACGGAGGGTAAATTTGTTACAAATGTATCAGTTTGGGGTTTTTAGTGGTCAAAAAATTAGTTTGGGATAAAATTATCACAGGTATGCCAATTTGGGGTTTTTGGTGGTCAAAAAATTAGTTTGGGATAAATTTATGACAAGTGTACTAATTTTGGGTTTTTTGTGGTAAAAAAATAGTTCGGGGTAAAATTGTCACAGGCGTACCAGTTTGAGGTTTTTCGCGGTATTAATCCTTTCGTGAAATAAATTTTTTTATTGGATTTTAAACGAGCCAGATATCTGCCTCTAAAAACACTTATTTAGGCACGTGTATCATTGCAAAAGATTTTAGACTATAGATAGGCCTATGGCCCGCCTGTACTCAAAAGAAAATGGAAAATCGTTAAGCACTCCACCTTATGTTAACCTACCTCACGTGATTAAATGACTCATGTGGAGTGAGTTAATCGTAAGTCAAGAGTACTAAAAACATTTGAAGAAAACGACTTGTTCCGGTCTGCCCAGTTTGTACTTTAGTGACCAAAAGATCTAAGTCACGGTCAACTTTATTGTCTGCTTAACACACAAGTATTATTATTTATGATAAACAAATTCATACATACCTCTAAATAATAATATTATTTATATTAGTGTTACTCTATTTTCACACTTTAAATGGTTATGACACATCTCGGTTTATTGAGTTGACGGAAATAACCTTAAGAGAACTAATTAATCTGAAGCACGGGAGGAAAGAGTGAAAATTGTCATTCATGAATATACAATATTGTCCGTATCAATCAAAACAATAATGTGTTATTCCACCACCTTCTGTTATTTTCTATCGGTCTTTGAACAAACATCATTTCCTCTTTAAGCTGAATTTTATGAGGGATTATTCACAATAAGTTCGAACCTTGTTAGTAATATTTGTTAATTAACATATCTCAAATGTATATTATAATCATGTAGAGTTCACAACTTTAACGGAAGAACTCCAATCAAAAAAGAACTTGAACCGAAGAATTGTATATGACAGACAGTTATTGCCTATTGGAGATTGGACTTTAGAGAAAAAATTGTAAGTAAATATTCTACACATCACCTCTTTATAATATTTTTTTTCAAATAAAGTCCCGGGGTTGAGTTTATTTAAATACTCGAATCTTAGAGAATTCTTGTAAAAAAGCAACGAATCAAATAACATTAGCCCCTTCATTCACACCACATCCAAGATAACATCCAATGCCCGAAACCCCAAATGGGTAATTTGTGATTGTAAAAGCACCCACAAGCATCTGCTGCATCAGAACATAGATTTTTCAGAAGTTGGGAGCCCAAATCCCTTAATTCACAAAGCTTCTGCAACTGCTTTAAGTGCCGAGTCAGTAAGTGTTGCACCTGAGAAGACGATAAGCGCTCCGCGGCATTTCCTCGTGCCTAGGATTTCTGAGGAGGGGGGCAACGTCTAAGTTATGTTGGGATGTCTGCTCGACATCACAAAGCGGATCGCTACATTTGAGCAGCACTTGCACTACCTTCTTCATCGGAGGCCTCTTGGAAGGACGCTTCGCAGTGCAAGAGATCCCGAGCTTAAAGACATTGCTTATTTCACCTAGGAATGAGTCGTTGTTGATCTCCTCATCTATCGCATCAGATATTGCCTTGCCATCTAGGATGTGACGCCATGCCCAATCAGCGAGGCACATGTCTTCGTCCCCGCCTTGAGCATCCCTCCCGGTGGTCAGTTCCAAGAGAACGACCCCGAAGCTATAAACATCGATCTTCTCATTAACTTTCGTCGTATGAGCATACTCTGTTATTCAACAAAGAACAGGCAATACGAAACTAAATATACTTGCTGGTACGATACGACGAAGGTGAGCTTGCATAGCTGAGATGGACTCATGTCAAGTGGATAGACAAACCTGGTGCAAGATAGCCAGCAGATCCGGCAATACCGGACAGCGTGACAGCTTCTCCGTGCTTGGCCAACATTCTTGCAAGGCCGAAGTCAGCAAGTTTTGCGGTGAACTCGGAGTCTAAGAGAATGTTGCTCGATTTCACGTCTCGGTGGATGATGGGTGGTGAACAATCATTGTGCATATAGCAAAGTCCTTTAGCTGCTCCTCGTGCAATCTGCAACCTCTTGGGCCAATCCAAGATCATATTGTTGGCTACACCCGCGATGGGCGACCATCTTCTAGTCTTGCGAAGCCAATGGTCCAAGCTGTGATTTTCCATGTTCTCGTACACTAGGAGTTCTGAGTTCTCGCAAGAAATGCAGCACAGCAATTTGATAATGTTTATATGCCTTACGTTCCCAAGTATCTCCACTTCTGCTGAGAATTGCTTCTCCAGATTCTTGTCTAACTTTTGGTTATTTGAAATCTTTTTCACAGCGACGGCGTCACCAGAAGGATTCACCATAATCCTGTATACTTTTCCCGATGCACCACTTCCAATCACATTTTCATCCTTCAATTCCGACGGAATATTCAATCCCGCAAAATTCAACCTTTGGAATGCAGTCAGTTTCCAAGATGAATCGAACCCATCCCTCTTCTTTATGGAAGCTCTGATTGTGAGTAGTGCTGCCAACGAAACAAACATCGCCCCAGAAATGGTAAAGATCAGGATCAAGGTGAGATTTCTATGGGATTGGGAATTGCAGACATTAAGCCTCATGAACGAATAGGATGTACAGAGGCCGGGGTTGTTCAGGAAACTGGCCTCGAATGGGGCGTTCTCTAACTCGAGTGGGACTTGTCCGCTGAGATGGTTGGAGGACAAATTCAGATGGACCAGCTTGAGCAGGCCGATTTCAGGAGGAATCGAGCCGGACAGTTGGTTTTCAGACAGGTCCAACTCCATGAGTGCCGGTAGAAAACCGAAGTCGCTAGGAATCGGTCCCATGAATTGATTGTGACTAAGATTCAGAGTTTTCAAGGATTTCCACGAAACGATAGCTGTGGGAAGATTCCCAGAGAGCTCGTTCTGACCTAGCAAAAGCGTCCTCAGAGAAGGCAGCTCGGTCAATTCAGTCGGAACCGTGCCACGGAGGAGGTTATTACTGGCATCAATCACCTGCAAGTTCCTCCACGAAGACACTGTACTCGGAATCTCGCCAAAGAATCTGTTGTTGTTGATCTCGATCAGAGTGAGGTTTGGGGACAGCTCCTAGGGAAGTTCGCCAGTTAATCCATTACGACTCAAGATCAAAGCCATTAAGTTCGGCGACATCCAGAGTCCACCAGGCACATTGCCGGTGAATCCATTGTTGTTCAACATAACGGCGGACAAAGTACTGCAATTTCCAAGTGACTCCGGCAACTCCCCGCTGAGATTGTTGTCCATAGCCGCCAACCCGGTCAGTGTGCCGCCGTGGCACAGTTGTTTCGGCAATGTGCCGGTCAAGTTGTTGAAGGCCACTTCGAATCTTCCGAGTGCAGAAAACTTGCCGAAGTCCAGGGGGATCGTGCCTGACAAATAGTTGTTGGACAGCCTGACATCAGACAAAGCAGGAAGATGACCAATACCTTCCGGGATTCTACCGGACAATTGATTGAACTCTAAATTCAAGTTGGACAGATTCTTGAGCTTCCCAAAATCTTCAGGTATGGTCCCCGCCAAATTATTGGCTGACAGATCGATCACGCTGAGGTTCGCTGCGCTCACGGCCTGAGGGATCAACCCGACCACATTGGTCATGTACACGTACAGCTCACTTAAGTTCCTCAGAGCAAAAATGCTGCCCGGTATCTCTCCGGTTAACATATTCATCCCCAAATCCAAATGCTCGAGAGCCTCCATATCACCGACCGTCTCTGGGATTCCACCATACAGGTTCGTCGGCGCCATCGAGAAGAACCGCAGCTTCTTCAGGGCAGTGAAGTTCTGCGGTAGCTGCAACGGCACAAACTGCTTGTTGTACTCAAGCCTCAGTTCTTCGAGATTGGAGAGGCCAAAAATCTCTTCAGGGTAAGTGCCATTGTACTCGGACATGTAAAGGTGAAGAATCCTCAGCCTCCGTAGCGTTGCGATGGACGCTGGGATGTTGAATGAGAAGCTGGTGGTGGCAAGGATCAGGACCTGAAGATTAGCCATCCGGTCGATGTCGGATGGAATAGGACCTTCGAAGTAATTCTGGGACAGGTCAAGATACACGAGCTCGGAACAGTTGTAGAGAACTGTTGGAAACTCTCCAGGAATATTGTTGTTGGAGACATTGAGCTTGGTCAGGTTCTTGAGGTCACAGATGATTGGGGGGATCGAATAATTTATGTTCAGGAATACAAGATTGAGCTCGGTGATCGAGCCATTTTGGCATGTGATCTCGGGCCATGTGCAGTGGGAGGATGAATTGGAGGCGACCCAGTGGGTGAGGGAAGATGGGTCTTTCCAGGATTGCCTCAGTTTCAACAGGACTTGCTGTTCTTGATCTTGGATTTGAAACTCTGCAACATGGAAGAGGTAGCAGAGGAAGACGAGACGAGGAATGTAGAAGAGGAAGAAGATGGGAATATGAGGTGACGATGAGGTTAGTCTCGGCATAATTGAAGGTCGTTTCAGAGTCTGTTTCTGGTTAGAGAGACTCTCCGGCGTTAAAGGTTGAGATCTATCAGCTCAACATGAAGCAAAACGGGTTTGCTTTTGGTCCACTGAGGTGTCATCTCTGTCAACAAAATGTGAACGAGGGAAGAGTCGAAGAGCCAGTGATATTCCATATATCTTACTATTGCCATAGAATACTTGGAGCCAAAAATCTTACTAGTTTTATATGTTACTCCTTTTAATAGCGCGCTCGTAATTAGGAGGAATTATGCCGTAAATTCACTATATATGCTAAATTGAATCTAACCAATAAAATAGTTAAGCAGAGCAAGTGGGGGACTAGAAAACGCATACTATGAGTTAGGATAAAGATGAAAATTTGACCAACTTTATTAAGTGGCCAATCTTGGCTATGCTGATGTATACTCCTAGCAACAGATAACTTCCACATATCGAATTTAACTCTCCTCAAACCCCTGATGAGGGTACCTTTAGACTTACATGTATCGCATATTTGAGTGCTCACATTGATAAATTGAGACTTATATCAGCCCACTCTTTTTCATTTCAAAATAATAAAAAAAGAAAGGAAAAGAAAGGAAAGAATAGTTACAGAACAATAACCATTACAACATATATTGTCAGATCAACAAGAGTTATTTAGGCTCAATTTATTTCATGAAAAGCATTTTCCGGGAAAACATTTTCTTCATTTTCCTCGTTTGGTTCACTTATGAAAATGAGTTAACGGAAAATATTTTCCTAGTCAACAGAAAATCTATATTTAAATTTAGGAAAATGATTTCCTCTATAAAAATCGGAAATCATTTTCCCAAATATGATTAGATATTGACGCTTGGATTAGAGACTCTACGTTTAGGCATGAGAACCCTAACGCTTATTCCCGAGCCCTTGGCAACAGACTCGTGTTTAGAGGCTGAGGTCGGGTCACCGTGGTCTATCGAGGCCAAGCCCGGGTCTAAAGAGGCCAAGCCCGCAACCCCGGTGCCTAGGCTTGGATCCACAGTGTTGGGCTCGGGACACCAACGCCCATGGTCGGGCCTTGGACTCCGGTACCCTTTCCCAACTCCTCGGAGCCTCAGCCTGACTCTATAGAGGCCATGCCCAAGACCCCAATGCTTGTGCCCCAATCTCTACCTAGGCTCAAGTCCACAGCACCCAAGCTCGAGACCAGGTCCATCGAGGCTAGGCCCAGGTGCCCATGCTTGGGTCCCCGGCACCTGGGTTAGGTTCCATTAAGGCCGGACCTGGGACTCTAGTGCCCATACTCGATTCCCTAGCTGCCCATGTATAAGTTACTAGCGTCCTTACCAAAGGATGGAAAATATTTTCCAGTTCATTTCTAGGTTTTAACTAAACACCAAATTTTTTTTTTGTTTTCCTAGAAAATAACTTATTGAAAAATATTTTCTAAAAATGTCAAATTTTCCATGAAACAAAGAAACCTTAGAGTCATAAATAAATTGAAAAGTTCGGCGTTTATCATTCAGTTGAATTTACGTAGCGTCATCCGATATCTATATCTCTTAAAAATAACCTAGAAGAAATCCTGAGAGTCTCATTAAAAAAAACATGAACACACACACGCTTCTATGCGATGATTGCATTGTGATTAAATTTGACCGTCGCAATCACTTATGAATTAAGTCCGATTTCACGACAAATGCGGGCCATCATAGTCCTAAGTGTTTGGAAGCCGACTCCCGTGATGGTATAGCTTTTCTAAATAATGGAGCACATGATTCCGGCACTCCGATGTTGAACCTTGACCAGAGACTTTTATTTATTTTTTATTTTTGAGTAGATTTTGTCAGCTTTTGCCTTATCCCTTTCATTGGTTGGAAAATACGAAATTTGGAAAATGTAAGTACGCAGCCATGGTTGATTCGTGCGTTGTGTTATCCAGATTATTAACCAATCAGCAGTATTCATCGCTACTCTCATTGACTTCCGTTTATAATTTTTTTTAATTTAACATTTAAGATTAATGAGTTGGAATTTTAAAATTTGGAATGAAATTAAGCTGCTCATATTTACAATAATGAAATAAAATAGAGAATTTCGCAAATCAATCTATTATGGAGTAGTAATATTGGTGAAAATCCAAAATTATTCCTTAGACTCCTTGAAGAGAGTTATAAACATAACAGGTAAAATCACATCCATCCATAGAGTTACAATAAGGTATTTGACACTTATATTATTTTTTTTTGGGGGAGATAAAAAAAATACAACAAGAAGATGTAATCTAAACAAGCGTAGCTAATTTTCGACGAAAAAAAAAAAACAAACGTAGCTAATTTATCTGCTATCCCGTTACATGATGTAGGAGGTGCTTTAATCACCCGGACACTCTATAATAAGGGGTAAGACTAAATAATGTCTAACAAAAGACTCTTTGTAGCCAAGTTTAGCCGTCTCCTTAAATTATATCTAAATGGCAAGATTTCGTGTAAATATAATAGTTTTTTTTTGTCAAAAGAAATATCCATTCATTACCAAAATGATACATGAAAGGATAAATAGAAAATCCCATAAATCACCACAACAAAGCAAGCCCATGGAGCTACAAAACAAACAAAAATCCAGAAATCAAGATCTATCATCCGAGCACGGTCGGCAAAGTTATGCACATGCTCGTCCTTTAAAAACAGATATGTAACTGCATCCAAGCAAAAAGGAACAGCAACTAATCACGAAATCACACATCATGATCATCATCAGTGATTAGCACATGCTAGGATCTCCATCGTAAGCTACGGTTTTGCCTTTCCATAGTGTAAGCTTGTTCGGCGTCCCCAATACCATTGCTGTGCGAAGATAACAAAAACATGAACAATCTCAAATCTGACACCTATGAGACGAGTCCTTTAGCAAGTGTGAGACGCCATAACTTCGAATTAAACTATGTTGAATGGGTACAGATCTGACATTGATGCTACTGTGAACATAAAATTGGAGGTGGAGTGCTTACTCATTAAAACTCCTAGATCTTGAACTAGATTGGAAGAAAAAAGCTCCCAGATCTAAGAATAGAAGAGTAGAACAAGAAACAAGAGAAAATAGAAGGAAAAAAAAATTCAAAAAGGGAGTGAAGGGAGAGATCTAATTCAAAATACATAAATATGATCTGAACCATACCTGCTTGTTGACCGCCTAAAAAGAGATGATGCCTACAACTGGGCTCTCTTAAAGGAAGGCGAATGATATTGAACTTTGACTTACTAAAAAGAAGGTAAGATGCATGGATAAGGACACTCTTATGATTAGGTCTTGCATTAAAATTGATTGGGATTAGAGATTCTTAAGGATTGCTTTCTTATGATTAAGTCTTGCTCTGAAATTTATCCTGGGATGTTAATGCTTTTGAAGGCGCAAAGTTTTAATTCCATCACCAACTGAAGTAGCTCACTTTCGGAATCGAAGCGGAGCAAGACTGTCTAATAACATCCTATGTATAAAGGAAATTGTAAGAGCCAAAAGGAATGTTGAGCCCCAAAAGAAGAAGAAGAAGAAGAAGAAGAAGAAGAAGAAGAAGATAAATACACAAAAAATTACAAAATTTATGGAGGAAATGTGATTGAGTTCCAAAATATTTTTCGCATCATATAATGAAGCTCTAAAACTTGTGAAAATTATGTAGTCAAGGGTGTATATTATTATGTCCGTTTGTTTCGAGTGATCGCATAACATTTTTTTACTCATTTATGTTTTGACTATTATATATAGACAAGCGAAAAAGAAGAAGAAGAAGAAGAAGTAGAAGAGGAGAAAACAAGTCTTCATTGTTTAATCACATCATCAAGGAATGCTCGTCCAAACCCTAATGGAGCTTTCGGAACATTCTCAAGGACGGGCGAGACGCTAATTGTGCCGAAATCTGAAAAGCCTTGGCATAAATGTCGGTAGGTGGTAGATGGCAACGATACGATCTCGGCCACCCGTTCAAGAGTCGATCAACGTATGTAATTTGAGGCCCTCTACTATATAAAGGGGTGTCCTCCTTCTCATTTGAATCATCCAAATCAATAGAAACATTTCCATTCTCTCCCAGAGTTTCTCTTTATAGATTCTCTCTCTACGATCCGGCTGAGCGAGTGAGCGATCGAGAAAAGGCTTGGCCTAAACATTCTAACAATCCAAGGAAAGCCTAAGTTGCCGCATGGATCGTTCCCAAACAACCGACCCGTGACACATGTCTCCAAGAGATTGGACCGAGTTTTATGCTAAGGTAGATTGAAGAGCCACTAGCAAACCACAATAGTTCTAAACTACTAAAGATTTAACAATGGCCACTCAAATGTTATTGACTATATATTTACTAATTGATCTTTTTTTCTATAGGTCTTGCTGAATCGTTCTTGATATACAGCCTTCATCTTAGGCTGGTGGAACAATATAATTTCCCTCACTGGGCCTTACTTGCCCTCGACGGGGCTCGCCCAGGCGAGGGTTGGCCGGGCCTTGCCTGTGGTGGGCGACGGTGGCCTCGTCCGGGCGATGGCGACCTCGCCCCGATGAGGCTAGGCAGCTAGCCATGGCTAGTGGCCAGTGTCCAGCCAGCCGCTGGCAAAAGGTAGAAGAAAGGAGATGAAAAAAAAGAAAACAATAAAAAAAAATTAAAAATTTAAAAAATCGAAAAATTATTAAAATATTATTAAAAATTATCTACGTCAGCGCCGACAATATCACATAGGCTAGCTAGCATCCACGTCAGCAATATCTAGCCTAAATTTACATGAAGGACTGAATTGACACAAAGACAAAAGATTTAGGACTCAATTGGCACTAAAAATAAGTTTATGACTAAATTGGCAATAATGCGAAAGCTTTATGGCTTTTCTGACACTTTTTCCTGAAATTTGATGGTCTAATGATGTATTTTTGGGTAGCAACCTATGTAGCAGCTAAGATGAGTGTAACTTAAGCTTTGTAGCTTGACCTAAGAAAAGAAACCTAAACTAGCTGATCATATATAAAGGATGAACATATTTCCAAGCATGCAAGATTAAAACACTAGGGTTTCCAGGATTCATTTAACCCACAATGGTACTCGAAGATGAAATTATCTTCAACATAATACATGAGCATGTCCATTTTTGCTTT